GGAGACGATCGTAGCCGAGAGAAGCCGTTGTGTCGCTTTCGGACGCAGGAAGTTGGGTAAAATAATGAAAGAGGTGGACACAAAGGAATGGGAAGCCTTGGTACTATCTACCTACCTATACCGGTAACGAAATAAGTCGACCACGAAATGACATCCGCTCCGCTGCCAGCCTCTGTGCCGTGGCAGTGCGTTTCCTCTTGGCTGGAAACCTTCCCTCCATCTTTCCTCTCCACCTGTCGTTAAAAGAATTTTGTTCGAAGAATTCTTCGTCTTTCTTGGCTTTCGAGAGTTAAATTTTATCAAATTCTCGTTTTTTCACATCAAGTTATCGGATGGTTGAGTCTAGATTGGGTGAAACAACGACCGAAACAGAAGGATTATGGGGGTTAAGGGTTAGAGCATTTAAGGGTTTACCATCTTGATTCTCGGCCATGTCGGACTAATTCTCCGTCCATGCTTGCAAATTGTCTCAATTGGACGATACGTTTCGCACGAATCGACTACAGGAATTAGGATTGAATTGCGGTTTGCTACTTTAGTGAGATCATCATCGACGCTCGAGAACTCTCTTCTCTTCATCGTCGAGCATCGTTGTTGAGGTTTCGATTATTTTGCGGATTGCGGCTCGATTATATATCTCTCTGTCTCTCTCTCTGTTTCAGAGAACAGAGAAGCTTAATGTTCATAGCATCGTTGCTATGCTATCCATTAGAGAAATTGTAGTCGAGGGAAGCATTCGAAGAAATGTCAATTTATAAAATTAAATGTTTAATCATGAAAGCTTTTGTATTTTCTTATCTTTTATATTGAATATATCGATAAATTTTCTTTCTTCAATGGCAATGTTATTTTATTGGTAAATCAAAACGTGAACATGAACATGATTCATGTTTTCTTTATTTGTAGTAGATAGTTTATAGATATCGAAACATTTTTTTTAAAATACGCATTAAAAATTATAATATAAACTGCAATATAAGCAAATAATTACGTTAATGTCGTTTAACGTTTGGTTTTTATTGCAAATAAATTCAAAAGCGGTAAGCATTCAACGTCAAAAATACGAATTACGAAAATCATTTAGATTTTAAATCTCTCAAATTTATTTATACATATATTTTAATCTTGGTTCCAATATCAAAATAGCATGTACGAATTTAAATCGGATAATAATTTCATATCTTTAAATTTGAATTGAAAATTGTTCGGCGGTTACGTTTAAAAAATTGATCGAATCAAATATCCGTTAATCAACGAACTACTTGGTTTTCGTAACTGTGATAAAAATTGCGAGTTATTAACTAACGGTTCTCGAAGAGAGCTAATTTGAGAACGCCTACGATCGAATCGATTGATCGTTAATCTCGAGAAAAGAAAATGATGGAAGTTTGCGTGGAACCAAGTTTACGCGTTTGATGGCGACCATGGCAACGTTTGTTCACGGCACGATAGCAGGATGGTGGGAGAGCTTTAAGAACAGCAGGACGTTCAAGCCGCGAGCACGATGGGGCTTGGAGAGGGGAGGTGAGGAGGTAGCGGTGGGAAGCAGAGACGGCAGACGAG